AACAAATAAAACATATAACATAAATAATGCCCAAATCCCTTATGCTAACTTCCAGCCTATCTACAAATCTACATACAACAAAATTATTTTATATAAACAAGTCCTCAAGCCAAGTTGGACCTATGATATTCAGCTCTGGGGTTTGCAAGCAACAGTAATATTCGAATAATCCAGAGATTCCAGAACAAAGTATTAAGGAACATTGTTGATGCTCCTTGATACATTAGGAACATCGAGATCTTCAGATGGACACTGTTGGTCAGACTATCATGTGTCATCAACAAATTAAGTTATGACAACCGAATTAATATGAGTAGGTAGCAAAATGACATAAAGCAAAAAGACAATGATCCTAGCACAGACCCTTGAGGAACATATATGTTCAAATCATGTAAATCAGAGTTAACATCATTAATATTGACGTACATTTTTCTATCTATAAGGAAACTAATCCAAGGATATTCCTCTGAAACGAAGTTATACAATTTATTTTCCATAAATTTAAAATTTAAACAGTCGAAAGCAAAACCGTGTGAAAAAATATGCCTGTCACGTACTTTTCTGATCTAAAGAGATATAATCATGATCCAGGAGGCTGCAGGCAGCGAATTGCGTAGAATGGTCCTCAAGAAATCCATGTTGGCATTCAGTTATTAAATTAAATTGATTTAAGTAATATAGAATTGTATTATTTTCAAATAATTAGAAAATGCATACACAATAATTAGCAATTTTTTGTTGTTCATTTTTTTGTATATAGGTAAAGTTTTTATGCTATGGAAAGATACTCTCAGCAATAGAGCAATTTAAGAGATATTCCTGGGGAACGCTATAAATTCTGCAATGGCCTTTAAAATGTTTACTGAGCCATAATCAACACCACAGCTTTTGATAGTATTTTATCTTTAGTGAATGAATTAAAGAAAAATGTATTGTTTAATATGGGTAAAATGCAGTTGGTTTAGACTGAACTACCAAAATAAGCTTTTAATTTGTGGTTTGCAAAAGAATGAACAAAAAATAAACAGAAAATAAATTTTAAAAAATGTATATCGACTCGTTACTAAAAAAAAAATTGTTACGAATACTACTACTAACTTTTCAGAAAGCTGTCTGAGCAACTAAAAATATACAGAATGGTCCATATGAAATAACAAAGTTTACCCAAGTTTGAAAAATCATACTTATTTTCCGTGTAACCAGAAGTTTGCAGTATAAAAGTGTCATATGCCAAAAACACTTAATTATTTTTACAAGATTTTTATTAGATTTGTTCCAACAGCTAATCTGATCATCAGAAGGACGTCGAACGCATGCACATTGAAAATATTCCGTTCCTACAAAGCAACGGATAATCCGACGACTGTCAGTAAAACGTTCAAACTTATTTTCTGATTTGTACTAGAATGAGTCGGAGGATTGTCAAAACGATCAGACCTTTATCGGTTGTACAATTTATCAGTACATGCGCATTTGAACGTCTCTTCTCGTTCGTGCTATTTTTGTTTGTTATTGTTGTAACTTTAATTTAGCTTGGAGTGGCTTGTGTTTTTATATCATTTACTTGAAATAATTAATTTTTGTTTTTATCTTGTGTACGTTTTTTAATAAAAATAAACATCTTGGGGTTTCAAAATTATACATTCACATAGATCGTTCAAGACAGCGAAATAAATAAAGGGTGTCCATATTTGACCTTCGGATTTAATTTGATAATAAAACACAGAAAGTCCTTGAAATAATATATTATTATTGTATTATTTTAAAGTTTAAATGTTACGGTTAATAATGATATCCGGCATGTGACCTCTCTGCTTCTTTAGCATGCTAATATTCTTTTTACAAAATTTAATAAATGTTAACTCGAAGCTGTTCAGGTGTTTGAGGGTTATTAACATAAACTTTTCCCTTCAAAAAGCTCCAAAAGAAATAATCCAATGATATAAGGTCGCACGACCTAGGCGGACAATTAACCTCAGCTCTTCGAGAAATTATTCGAATGCCAAATCTTCCCTTAATAGATTTAGCGTTTTATCTGATGTATGGCAAGTAGCACCGTCTTGCTGGAACCACATGTTCTGGACATCCATATCTTCTAATTAGTTCCACAAATAATCTGGTAATCATTGTTATGTATCGCGCTTCATTCACAGTTATCGAATCACCAGCTTTATTCTGGAAAAAATAAGGACCAATAACGCCACTAGATCAAAAACCACACCACATAGTCATATTATCTGGATAAAGTCGTTTTTCTAATATTTCCCATATTCTGCTGTCAAAATGTCTTAATGAAAATCTCAATAACTTTAGTGGCTAAATTTCCTCTGAAATACGTAAGGCATCTTCATGCAGTTTCAGCAAAACATTCCACATTTTGGTAATAAGTTTTCACAATAAAAACGGGGTTTTCTATGGACAATTGTTCCATGTTGACCAAAAAACAAGTATCCGAAAAGTTTTTACTTGACGTATGTCACCATGGAAATACTGTCAATGAAGATTACCAAAAGTGGCGGTCAATTTAAATCGGAATATCAAATTTGGACACCCAATATAATATATTGTATTTTAAATAATGTTTAAAATAGCTATTCACCAAACATGTGTTTGATTTGTCCAATTCCATTGCCTTTTGCGTTCCAGCAAGTACATGTCGCTGATAAAACAATGGACGAATAAATGATATGCGCAGTGATTAGTTTACGAATGCATCCATTTACGAGTCAGAAACACATTAAAAGAAAGGAGCTGTTGGAACAAACCTATTAACTTGCAACGTTTGTATGTTTGTTTAGGTCAAATCTTGACTGAATTTTAAAACATTTTCTTTAACCGATTGTGCTAAAATTTTGAATACACGTTAAGATTGCGGGTAACAATGCGTAATTAGCTAAGTGACGTCATTCAAAAATCAATATGGCGAACTCCCAAAGATAGCGGACTAGTTATTTTTTATGCATCCTATTGATGTATCAATTAAAAAGGTATACTAAGAAGAAAACAAAAAAAAAAACATACTAAATTCAATATCGCGGATGCTTCAAGATGGCGAACATTTCCTTATCTGCCATCAAATGAAAGGGTTTGCTAAGAAGAATTCAATATGGCGGACCCATATATCATTGGGCGCATACTAGTTCGCTCCCGCGGTCAGTCGAGCTTGTTAATCGTATACTAGTTCGCTCCAAAGGTACTATACTAATTCGCTCCGGTTTATTTACCGCCCTCAGGTAGATTACAAATGGATCGATTAGCCCCCAGGTAGGTTCTTGTGTTGGAACATTAAAAAATAAAAAAGATTGTTTTATTTAAAAAAGCTATTATTTACTTACCAAAACTAAAATATATACATATTAAAATAATATAATTATAATGCAATATATCGGGTACCTACGAATATTTAAGTGTTCCTAAAAATACTATTATTTAAAAACTATTTTTCTATCCTCTTATACCTACGAGACATAATTTTAACAAAATCAAATATAGTATAGGCATTGTCATTTTGATTTAACAGAGAAATTTGTTTCTCTGCAAATTCTTTCTTCAAACGTGCTTCTCTCCGATACACTTTTTTTGGTAAACTTAAACTTTTAATCTTTATGTAAGTATCTATTTGAATATTTTTTAAAATCTCTAAAAACTGAAAAATATTTGGATGTGGGGAATAAAACAGAGCATTAAATTTTTCATGAAAACTTTCATATGCGTTGGTGGTTCGCTGAATTGAGGAACTGTGTTCAGCCCACGTGGAAGGAGGAAATAATGCATCGTTAGCAATGTAATTATCTACCAGATAATCCGAAAATTTAACTATAGGTTCTGTGTTTGGCATTATTGCAGCTAAATCAATAGCGAAACAATCCCCAACCCACCCCCAACCATTTCTGGGTTCAAAAATGGTAGCCCAAAAATATGTGTTAAGTAATTCCCAATATCAGAATTTTTGGAATACTCTGAGGCCAATCCAAGACTCGGTATTTTTCGCCACCTGAAAAAAATAATATTGATTCTAAGTGAGGTGCTAATCTTTAAATCAATAGTGTTTTAAAATTGTGTATCATAAATTGTTAACAAACGGGGTGGGCCACCGGTAACGCCTCGGTCTGGAAAGCTCACACTGTTTTTTTAAAATCGGATTTTATTACGAGATGGAACTATCAATATACCTTTGAAATAGGCTTGTTTCTGAAACTAGTTTTATGGATAATATTATGTACTTATTTATTTTTTAGATATTGCCTAAGACCCTATTAAAATATAATTTAGGTATATGTAATGTATAATGTAAAATAGTAACTGTGATACTCAAAATACTGTCAGAGTTTGCTTTTTTTTTTTCGAAAGTATCTGCTTCTCTTCCGGTTGTTTTTCCACGTACTTGTCATTTATTTTATTTAAAGAAATTAAAATAAAAAAATTAGGTGAGCTTAAATAATAAAATCCTCTTCTACGATGTTTTACTTTTTTTACAAATTTATAATAATTGTTTTATTATGTTCTCTTTTACAGCAATTATTAAACTGTTATTTAAAATTCTCAAATTATCGCAGAATTTGATTTAACACTTAACATCTTATGAAACACCTAATCGAAAATAATCATAAGGCGTGTTGTATAAATATTTTATTGTTTATAAACTTATTAAGATTGTCTTAAATGAAATCGGCATCCTTTAATTATTGTAGAAGCTGGTAAAATCTTATGGACTGCATTATGAATTGCTTTTTCAAAATCTGCGTAAACTACCGACGGGTTAAATATTAAATTTAGTTCAGAGCACTCTTCTTTTACAAACTGAAGGGCACTTTTGTACGATTTCTCCTCCTTATTTGGTAAAAGAATAAAAACCAATGGTACATAATGTTCATTTTCGAGTCCGTGGATGCTAAAAAGTTGGTAAAAAAATTTCGTGCAACATTTAAATGTTCCGTCAACGTACACACTTGTTGATTTACACAAAAACTTGAAATTTGTTTCACATGCAAAAATGACTATATTAGTGTCAAAATCATTTTTAACTAAAAAGTTTTCGTTTTTATGTGTCACCACCATCATTTTATTTAAGGTTTCCTGCAGCACTTCTTGCAGAGAAGTTGGTGTTTTTGGGAGCACCTTCATTCTGTTGTTATACATATTTTTTCGAATCAAAAACACATCATTAACGGTTAACGATTCGACATCCTGCTTTTTTAATTCCGTATGCAATAATGTTGATGGTTTTTCACATATGTCTTCAACTACCCGTCTTTTTATCGAGTTACTTAATTGTTGGCGATTTAACGTTGATGTTAATTCGGCTGAGTGATTATGAACCTCATAATAGTCAATGATGGTAGTGTTTGAACCTCCAGTTTTTATAAAAGATTTACAGCCACCTCGTTGCGTATATTGCCACCGTTTTACATTTCCAGATAACGTTTTATGAAAGTTAAACCTAAAACCGTTGATTATCAACATAGGTTTTCCCTTTTCACTCAACATTTCACTAACTTTAGCAGAATTCATATTTTTAACTGTTTTTACTTTAAAATTATCAATCAATATTTTCAGCCTGACTCGACTAAAACTTTCACAATATAGCCCAATCGGATTAGGTGAAGAACATGCTTGAGATTCTGAAAAATTCGAAGCAGCAATTTTCCTTCGGAATTCGTTGGAGGGGGTCTGTGGTAGTCTAAATTCAAAAAGTTGGGATTCCAAAGTTGTCGTTACCTCCGCCAGCTTGATTTAAAGAGTTATTTTTTGTATCTTGAATAACTCATTTATTTTCAATTTTACACGGAAAATAGTTTTTACAAAAGTTATTTAAAATTAAATTTCCTACAATTCTGCTTTTTTTTGTACGATCGATTTTTTTCGATTTATACCCGAAAAGAGGGGGTGAATTTTTGGTTATAGAATAACTCGTTTATTTTCAATTTTACGAGAAAAATTGTTATAAACAAAGTTGTTTAAAATTAAATTTCCTACAATTCTGTTTTTTTTTGTACGCTCGATTTTTTTGTATTTATCCCTGAGAAGAGTGGGGGTAAACTCTTATCATTGTATTATTGTTCCAAACAGACGTCATTGACGTTTCGATAGACTTTTAAAAGTGTACTGAAAAGAAAATAAATTTCATTTTTTTAATTGTAAAAATTATACTGTTCGATAAACTGATTATTTACACCCCTCTTTTCCTTTACCGTGAACGTGCGACCCAACAATATAAACTTTAGAAAAAATCGGAATCATAATTGTACCAAATAACATTTTTGAAAATCAGCAAAAAAAAACAAACAGAAAAAATAATGGTACAACATCAATAATAAACGTGACAATACAATACTTAGGTTCACCCCCACTCTTCTCAGGGATAAATACAAAAAAATCGATCGTACAAAAAAAAACAGAATTGTAGGAAATTTAATTTTAAACAACTTTGTTTATAACAATTTTTTTCGTAAAATTGAAAATAAACGAGTTATTCTATAACCAAAAATTCACCCCCTCTTTTCGGGTATAAATCGAAAAAAATCGATCGTACAAAAAAAAGCAGAATTGTAGGAAATTTAATTTTAAATAACTTTTGTAAAAACTATTTTCCGTGTAAAATTGAAAATAAATGAGTTATTCAAGATACAAAAAATAACCCTTTAAATCAAGATGGCGGAGGTAACGACAACTTTGGAATCCCAACTTTTTGAATTTAGACTACCAGAGACCCCCTCCAACGAATTCCGAAGGAAAATAATTGCTGCTTCGAATTTTTCAGAATCTAAAATACTAATCCGATTGGGCTAATAATAAAAATAAAAGAACATACTTGACCCACCTAGAAAAATGTACCTAAATCTAATAATTACGTTTTCAATGAGCCTCCTTCCAGGTAATAAAGTAAGCCAAAAAACCCAATCTAAGATACATATAGCGATGGAAATTTAAATCCAATAAACACTTTTAAGTGAGTGTCCTTCCTGGAAATAAATCATCCCTCATAAATTTAGTGCCGGAGCGAACTTACCTATGAACTTTTCGGGTCGGAGATTAAAATCTGACCGCCGGAGCGAACTAGTGTGTTCCGATATCATTCACCACGACATGGCTACTGCCCTCATAGTTAGATTTTTTTTACAGAGCATTTAAATAAATGCTTGTTTTTAAAAATGTTATTTTATTATTAATTTATTGAAGGTGAGCAGTAAAAACCAAACATTGATAATATCACAATAACTTTTTGAGATAAACGCATTTAAAACTGAGTTCAAATTTACTTGGCCATCCTTATCATATCTACTTAGTTGGCCACTTAAAAAATTAATGTACGTTACTGAAATTTTTCGACATTTATTAAAATAAAGAAGGTTGATACCCTGTTTTCGGCCATTTTTAAACATTTACAAAAACATTGTATACAGGGTGTACCATTAAAAACTCCCAGGCCAGATATTTTTTGGTAAGTAATAGAGATATGTTAATTCTGTAAAAGCCAGTTCACAGTAAGAGAGCTTTAGTTTTAGGTATAAATTAATTTTACATTGGTCAATATGTAGATGGCGCTGAGCTCAATATTTTTTTTTCGATGGGAGGATCTTTCTTGTGTAGCACATCTTCTAAAAAATGCATTTTTAAGCAGATTTTGTTCCATGAACTAATTCGATAAATATAGCCATTTTTGATATACAGAGTGGGTCACTCAAAACAGTTTCATCCTGTTTTTCAGCATTAATCATTGAGTTTCAAAAAAATGCTGAAACAGATCGATGTTTATTTCAAATTAACAACATTTTTACAATACAGACATCTGTCATGTGTCAACCTCCTCCGTTGCACTTCTCCAACATCTTAATTTTAAATAGGTAATGTACCATGTATGGCACATCTTCAAAAAGGTAATTTATTGGGGGATTCAGAAATATTCTTGTACATTGCGTTACTTAAATTTTATTGCCCTCTAACGGCATAAAAAACTATTACGTATTATAGAGTGTGACACTACAATGTGTAGTACATCATTTAAAGGGTAATTTTATGGGAAATTTAGAAATATGACTGTTCATTGCGATACTTTTAATTGTACCTCCCTCTATCGGGACAAAAAAAACTACGTATTATAAAGTGTGGCACCTTATTTGAAAGCAAATTTAATTACTAATTCAATGCACCACATAACATTAATATAAATATCCTCCATATTGTACTTGCAATAGTTTGAAAATTAGTAATGCATTATTGCTAACTTTATTAGTGCAATATGGATATTTATATTAATGTTATGTGGTGCATTAAATTAGTAATTAAATATGCCTTTAAATGAAGTGTCAGACTTTATAATACGTTACGGGTTTTTTATCCCGATAAAGGGCGCTAAAATTAAAAGTATCGCAATAAACAGTCATATTTCTGACTTACCCATAAAATTACCTTTTCAATGATGTTCCGTTCATAGTACATTCCTTATTTAAAATTAAGGGGTTGGAGAAGTGGAAGGGAGGGGGTTGACACATGATAGATGTCTGTATTCTAAAAATGTGTTCAATTCGAAATAAAAATAGACCTGTTTTAGCATTTTCTTAAAATCCAATGAATAATGCCGAAAAACAGGATGAAACTGTTTTGAGAGACCCACTCTGTATATCAAAAATGGCTAGATTTATCGAATTAGTTTATAAAACAAAATCTGCTTAAAAATGCATTTTTTACAAGATGCGCTACATAAAAAACATCCTATTATCGAAAAAAAAAAAATATATATTGTGCGCAGCGCCATCTACATATTGACCTATTTAAAATTAAATTATATCTAAAATTGAAGCTCTCTACGCGATCTATAAGCTGGCTTTTACAGAATTAAAATATCTCTATTACTTACCAAAATATCTGGCCTGGGAGTTTTTATTGGTATACCCTGTATATCTTCATCAACAAAAAGAGGTATGTCATATATTTTGTGATTACTCTTTTAGTTTGAAACACCAAGTACTTTCACCGATAATCGGTGATTATTTTTTTTTATTTTAAAATTCTATATTACAAAGTTAGGTACTAATGAATTTGTATGAATTCAAATATCGTTCATTTTCTATGTTTAAATAAATAAGATAATCTGTATGTAAAACGTCAAAACAAATAGCAATATTACCGAAAAAAAGTGTTCGGTTTTATGAATCTTCCTTTATTTTTAATTCGTAAAAGATGTTAATAAAGAAAAATATTTAGATGTGTATTGTACTAAAAAGATGTAAATGTACTGAATAAATTTGTCATAGTATTCGTATTTTTTTTTGCATGTTATACATATTTTTTTGTCCAACAAGTTATATTCGTATCCAATTCAAGTAAAATACGAGTTACGTTTATATTTTTCCAATAAATTCATTTAATCTAATCTTTATGAGTGAAAATTTGCTACATTGGAATGGTTTAAACTCATCTTTTTATATACAGGGTTAGTCGAAGATAAAATAAATTAGATCCCTTAGAGATAAAGAATTTCATTTCCTTTCTTATAGATTTAGAGAAAAGGTTGCCCAAAGTTGGAAATATGACTTTTTACCACTTTGAAAAATGAAAACAATATTTTTTTCTAAACGTACTTCATCAAAAACTATTTAGGTATAGATATACGATTTTTTACCATTAAAAAATATAAGCTTTATGTATGTTAGTGAATGCATTTCACTTAATACATAACAGCAAATATAAACAAAAACATAATATAAAATAATATATATGAAAAAAGAAGAATATGACAAGTGACATTGTCAAACTTTAATCAAACTGTCAATTTCACTTCATTTGTCATCCCTATCATTTTAATTAAAAGCGCATGGTAGCTAGAAACAACTTTTAAAACTTTATCCGGACCTCTATGAATGACCGAAAACGGAAAAAACTGGTGACCCAAGCCAGAATCATGTATAAAACCAAAAAAAAGAAAAACCGACACCGCTAATAATAATAAATCTTAAGATACGACACAACACAATTGTACCCAAGGTAAGCTAAAAAAAATTAGTAGTAAAGATGAACTCATAATTAAAAAAGAAACAAATTTCTTGTAGGTGTAACAAACAGGTGTCGTGATAAATATTATTCCAGAGAGCATTCTAGGTAAAATAAGATTTGATCTAAATAAATTAGAAAAAAGCAATATAAAATTGAAGTCTTATACGGGACATCAGCTGTCTATAATAGGTCAGTGCTATCTTATGTGTAAATATAAAAAAAGTAGAAAACTTATTATTTTCAAGTAGTAGACACTAAAAGTTGTCCAATATTAGTTTGTTTAAAATTAAATAGGATTAAAAGAATCGATTATTTGTAGAAAAGAACTGTGTGTAGAATATACAGATAAAGTTGAAAATTTATTGGTTAAATTTAAACAGTTATTTAAGGGTATAGGGGGGGGTATAGAAAAACCATACGGTATTGAACTTAAGGAGGACGCTAAGCCAGTAGCCTTTTTACATCGTAAAGTAAAGTACCTTTTGCAGTTAGGGAAAAAATAAAGAAAGTTTAAACCATCTAGAAAATGATAAAATAATTGTAAAAGACACAGAATGTGCATAATGGGTAAATCCTGTAGTTTTATTAGAATTTGT